TGTGAGAGAGAGAGAGAGAGAGAGAGAGAGAGAGAGAGAGAGAGAGAGAGAGAGAGAGAGAGAGAGAGAGAGATTATTTATACCAGGGGTGTCAAATTCATTTTTGGGGCAGGCCACATTTTATTTACCGTTTCACTTGAAGGGCCGTTATGACTGAAACCATATAAAGACGTCAAGAATATAACAAATGTTGATTCAACTATTGTTTAAGTTACTATCATGAGCGGCTTGGTAACAAGAAAAGGCTGAGAATATATCTCTTATTTATTACATATGAGAAATTTTTGGTTGACATTTTAGAACGGATCATGGAAATTTACATCTTTGAGCTGCTTTCGCAGGCCATATAAAATGATGTGGCGGCCCAGATCTGGCCCCCGGGGCCTTGAGTTTGACACATGTGATTGATACCCAATCGAGAAATTCTGAAGCAACCATAAGCAAAAGGTCTGTGAAGGTGGGAGGGAGTTTATAGGGGTGTTCACACGGCAACATTTACTCTGGTGCTGCGCCTGCGCTGCGCCAGTGGAGCGGTCACACGTGCAAATTTGCTCTGAGGTAGCCCTGGAAAACAGCTTACACCGGAGCAAATTTGACCCACCTCAGGGAGGTGGTTTAAAAATTTGTTCCGGAGCAAATGCTCGTTTGCGGAGCAGCACCGATGTAAATTTCCACATGTGAACTCTCCAATTTGCTCCAGAGCAAATGCTCATTTGCGGGGAGGGGGGGGAGTAGCCTCGCTACGCATGAAAACAGTTGATTACGTAAGGCGAGAATGCGTTGCTTTCGTGCTCTGTTGGACTTCCGTCATGTGTTTGTTTAATAACGACACAAGACGTGGCTGGTAACAGTAGCAAGCACCTCTTGGGTTATACCATCTCAACTAGAACGTGGGAGGGGGTGGGGGGCATAGTCCCCAAATGTCATCTTTCCTTTTGTAGGAGACTGGACTGTCTCGGAGTTGTTAGTGTAGTTTGTTCCTTTGTTGTGTGTTCACAATCCCCCACCCCCCATAGAATTTATTTTGTGATTTCCTCTCTTGATTTTCTGTTTGGCGCATTACATGTTTGCTTTTCTGAGTCTCGTTCAAGTCATCGTTGATTTACGTTTTCGGGGGCGCTCACTCTCGAGCTGAAGGCACTGAGACCGAGAAGAAGGACGTGCCTGTACAGTAATTGCTTGAGCACAACTCATATAAGTTTTAAAAAGAACCAACACGACAGCTCATTTGTTTTCTGTCGTTTTGCTCCGCTGCAGAAACTGCCGTGTAACCGCAAGTGGAGCTGCACCGACACTGCGCTGGTGCTAACACGCTCAGCGGCTTTGTGTTACCGCTCCACAAAATTTGCTCCGGTGTAAAATATATCACAACAAAATACATCGGTGTAGCGTCAGAGCAAATGTGTGCCATGTGAAATGCCCTTATGCCCAAAAAGCAGCTCTGGGAGGCTATTTTGACATCCTTCAAAAAAATTCAAGCAGAAAGTGTATAAAACACACAAGTTCAATTGATGCAATAATTGTGAAGTTGTTGTCAAATAAGGCGTTGGTCCAACGTTAAAATGTAACTGCACTTGCGTTGCACTGAAATAGCTCTTTGTTTCACTAAATGAAATAAACCAACTACTAATGCTGCAAATTCAACAAATATCTATTCCCGGTTACATTCTATTAAATGTCTTAAAACTCTGTTGTGTGTAATAATTTCGAACTGTATTCTATTTTTTTTGGGGTGGGGGGGAGGTTAAATACATTCGAATTATTCTCTAACGGTTGAAGAATATACAATTATATTTGAATGTCATTCGAATCGACTACTCAAACTCAGAAGACGAAAATATCATTTACACAATAATTTGGAATGCCGTGTACGATAGTTTTAATAAATCACTACTATGTGCCAAGAACTCCCATGTGACCGCCGTTTTTGACATGATTTGTCGGCGACTCCACCGAAACCCCTCCCGTTTCGGATGCCCGTTAACACAAAGATAACGCACCTTTTATGGCGGCGCAACGTCACATCCTGGTCTACAGCGGCGGTCCCCTTCCTTGAGCACAGATTGCGCTACCTCGGCTTCTGTTGTTGATCTACAACACCTCTTGGTTGATAAACGTGAGAGATTCTGATTCAAATCTGTGAAGGACGTGAGAGGTATTTGGGGAATTTACTTTTATGTACCAAGAAGTGGAACCGATGAGAAATTGCGGATTCGAAAAGGGGCATGCTATTTTAACGTGAGAGAGACTGTCTTCACTTTAAAACCGATGATAAGGTACTTTGATGTTTGCAAAGCTAGCAGGCTAACCCCGGCAACGATTTTCCTCTGTCGCCAGTTTGCGTCGATGACCGTCTCATGTAAAGTTACCGAATTAAGAAAAAAAAACAACAACATTCGTCTTAAACTTATGTAATGTTTGGAATTGGTTATGTTAAGTGTTGGCGGCTCCAATGTTAGCAATGGGTCCCAGTTTCCTAAAGGAACTGTAGTTTCGTGTCCAGGAGCTGCATTCATTTTCGAGCATCACGTTTAGTGTTATTCTTTCAATACAAGTCAGTTGTTGAAGTTTTGTTGCGTTTGGGATTTTTAAGTATATACGATTTATGGTTTCAATGGATACCTGATGTAAATTAAAGGTAACGCTGCATACATTGATGAAAGAGAATTGGGCATATCGCTTATATCGGGTAAATTTAAGACCGTCAATAGGTGGAGTACTGACGAGAAGGCTAGCTTGATGATCATTCAAAATCGCCCACATGCTTTGGATCAGTTCCCGGTCTTATGAAAGGCCTTTGAAGCAGAAGGTGGAAGACTTGCAGCCCGTGGGAAGATGGCGGAGCTCTCACACAGGCGGTGGTGAAGCCAAAACTTCGGGACTTTTTGGACTTATCCCCGAACATCTTGGCTCATTTCATAGAACACATGCAGGCCAAAAAACGTTACTTAGTTTTGTTCTTTGCCGGCGTGTGTCTCCTTCTGCTATTTTGTTTCGGGGGTATTCATGTACCACTTTCCAGACGAGGTCTAAGCCGGCGACATGCGCGAACTCCTCACCCTGGGGCGCAGTGGCGTCGCTCCCCGGGGGCCGTTCAACCTTACAGCGCCTGTGAGCAAGACCGCAACGACGATGCGAATGACCACATATCTCCTCGTCAGAAGAGAGACGCAATCGCCGGCCTTTTCTCTGGGAAGCATTGCAGAATGGAGTCCTGCTTTGACTTTTCTCTATGTGAGAGAAATGGCTACAAAGTTTACATCTATCCTCACCAGAAGGGAGAAAAAATGTCAGAGAGCTATCAGAACATTTTGTTGTCGATTGAAGGCTCCAGGTTCTTCACACCGGACCCAGACCGGGCATGTCTGTTTGTCCTGGGTTTGGACACTCTGGACAGAGACCAGCTCTCACCGCATTATGTGCACAACCTAAAGGCAAAAGTCCAGAGTCTTCCACTGTGGAATGATGGTAAAAACCACATAATCTTCAATTTATACTCTGGCACTTGGCCTGACTACACGGAAGACCTGGGCTTCGACATTGGCCTTGCCATGCTGGCTAAAGCCAGTATCAGCACAGAGAAGTTTCGACCCAGATTTGATATATCCATCCCCCTTTTCTCAAAAGAACACCCCAGGACTGGAGGGGAACGGGGCTACCTTAAACATCACACCATCCCCCCATTTAGGAAGTACCTGCTGGTATTCAAGGGAAAGAGATATTTAACTGGAATAGGATCTGGTACAAGGAATGCCTTGTATCATGTGCATAACGCCGAGGATGTTGTCCTTCTCACCACCTGCAAGCATGGCAAGGATTGGCAGAAGCACAAAGATGCACGCTGTGACAAGGATAATGCAGACTACGACAAGTGAGTACTATTTTGACCATCACGTTGTTCATTAAGTGAGCAGGCTATGATGAACGGGTCTTGTTATTTTGTTTATTTATGTTTTTGATAGAGGGGGAATGAGTTGATAGAAGTGTCTGAATTATTTTTTTTCAACAATCTATTTTAGACGTGCACAAAAATAATTGCAGTTTAATACAGTAATTTGTGTGGTGATCCCCCCCCCCAAAAAAAAAATTTAAAACATCAACTTATAAAAAAAGAAATACCCTCCAGAAAAACATAGTTAGAAATAATCAAGAATCAGTACAACAAAGGTAATAACTTACCTGCTTTCACAAACGTGTTGGAGGACATTTAAACGTATCTATTCCTATCCCTATATTTATTTCATTGTTAATATAGCAACAGTATTTTGGATTATTCATAGCTATGTATTCGCAACATAAACTAGAATACTGTTCACAATATTCAACTTCACTCAACTCAGCTATATTTATTGGCACTTTAAAACAACCACCGCTGAATACAAAGTGGTGTACACGGAGCAAAAATAACTCATACAACTAACAATAAATTAATAACGAAGAGTAGAAAGCACAAAAACAGTAAAAGTAAAAGCCAAGTCTCATAATCACAAGACACCCTGTCACAATACCATGTATAAATAGCTGTCTATATTCGATTAATTTTAGATATATCACTGACCCGTGCATATAATAGTTCCCACACTTATTTTATGAAACAATACACCTAAAACTCTTATTTTCCAACGATCACGATTACAACTATATCTTACCTACACCATCAAAATTAGAGTAATATGTACAGCCATGCTACAGCTAATTCCAAACCTAGTGCTTAACCCAGCCCCTTGTATTTTCTATACTTCTCCAAAATACATTTTAAGATATTTATATTTGAACTGATTTATCATTGCACATGATTATTAATTATAGCCAGGGATGCTGGTAATGTGCTACTCAGTACTAAATTAGGAAGTAACACTTTACTCCAAAATGTGCCGATTTTCAAGCAACGACTAAAACTGTATTTTTTTTTTTCCAGTCCAGAAATGTTATTAGTTATCCATCCATCCACCGTTATCCAAGCCAGTTATCCTCACAAGGGTCTCATGTATGCTGGAGCCTATCTCAGCTGTCTTCGGGCAGTGGGTGGGGCACACCTTGAACCGGTTGCCAGTCAATCACAGTAGTTTATAGTTACTATTCAAATATTACAAAACATTATTTTGTTTAACACATTTAATTCTGGGTAGCACGGTGCTCGCCTGGTAAGCATGTCCACCTCACAGTGCAGAGGTGCAGGGTTTGATTCCAGGCCCCAGTCTTCCTGTGTCAAGTTTGCATCTTCTCCCTGTGCCTTGCGTCGGTTTTCTCTGGGTACTCCGGTTTCCTCCCACATTCCAAAAACATGCATGGCACGCTGACTGAACACTCCAAATTGTCCCTCGATGTGAGTGTGAGCGCGGATGGTTGTTCGTCTATGTCTACGCTGCGATTGGCTGGCAACCAGTTCAGGTTGTACCGAGCCTGCTGCCTGAAGACAGCTGGGATAGGCTCCAGCACACTCCCTACCCTTGTGTGGATGAGCGAATTAGAAATTGTATGGACATTTACTTCTCTATGGTGGCAATGTCGGTGTTTCACATAGCAATAATACCCGAAGTAGTTGCCGTTAACCAGCAGCAAGAGGCATCACTGAGAAACAATTGACGAGTTAAATAAACAGCACACACCTCTTTGCCTTTCTCTCACACACACATTTTATTGTAAAACTAATAGTTAATCAATAATATAAGATGGTAGGACACCTCACTTTCCTCTAACACTATATTCCTCACTGAAGTCACTCGACGAATAGCTATACATTATAGAACACGTAAGGGAAAGTCTGGTATTTATAGCTTGAACATGGTGAAATGCGTTGTGGGAGATTTCAAATTCACCTTCACATTTAAGGGATTGACAAACAGTGATCCCTCACTTATCATGGTCAATGGGGACTTGCTGTTGTTTTGCTGCCTCTCGCGGACCTTTTGCTGCATTTTCGCTTTTAAAATTTTCTTTTTAATTTGATGAATACTTTTGAAAAATCCGCAATGCACTGAAACCGCTATAAGTGAACCGTGAAGTAGCGAGGGATTTGATGACTCGCATGTCCACAATTGGTAATGGAGGAAGGATCCAGGGATATTTGCATTTTTCAAGCTGGAAGTAAAATCACGATTTTGAGTTTGTGTCAACCATAAACAAAACTATTAATGTTTATTGCACACTCTCAGCCATCTCGTTACCTCTGCGTCCCGCGTACTAAGACGCATAATTTTCGCGCGGGACGCACATTTCCAAATAATGTGCGTTTTTGGGACGCAAGGAAATTTCTCAGTCAAAACAAAACAAAAAAAAAAAACTACGGCAGGCCAGAGGATTTCACAGTAACTGTCGTTACCGGTAGCGTGTCGTTTCCGTGGCGTCATTTTGACGGTACGGAAAAATCGTTTAACCATAAAAGAGTCACCACACACGAGTTGACTGTACGCGATCGAATCTCTCCAGTGTGATCAACGCAATTTCACTGTGCCTGTATGTGTGTTTGTGGTGTGGTGTGTGAGTGTGTTTCTTCTCATTTACTTTCGTTTTGTTTTGTTTTCAGTGTTGGGGGGGGGGACGGAACACATAACGTTATGTGCGCATGCGGGTTGCTATTTTAGCCCGCAAACAGGAATCGCGCGGATGAAAGTTTGAGATGGCGGCGAAAAAAACTCACAAAGGTCTACTAATTACGACATTTAAGAAATGGGAATGAATGCCAGTCTGATTTTTCGTATGAATCGTCCGAAGGGCGTTTCACTAAACTCACCTGTGACGTATGCACAGAACATGAGAGCGAGATACGACGCAAGGCACGATTCCGAGGCAAGTTGGTCATTAGATCTATAGGTTAATCGCTATGAAAAATATTATAGAACAGTAGTGGTTAATCTATAATTTACTGGTTGTAGCATGGTAACTTTATGAATAAAACATTCGTCACAAGGTGTAGCAATGCTAATGTTAACTGTTGGTAGAACTAATGATGACGTGTGTTAGTCTTTCATCAAATTGATAGTAGATTACACATGCATCATCTTGGGAAGAGGATGTCAAGCCACATCAATACTTACCTGTATTAATGATGAGCAGTAAATTAATCTTTGCAGTGTGAGATTGGAAAAAAATACTCTGATTTTGTGGTATGCTGTATTCATGATGCCATATGAGTACAACATATTTTGATCCATTTATTTTGTTGAATAAACCTGGAGTACACCGCTGCTGATGTAATGCTCATTTTTAATGCATAGTTTTCAAACATTTACCCTTGAAACATTGTACTTTTGAGTTTCAGAATTCTTGATTATGAATATCAGTCAAAATAGAAAAATGGGTTCCCATGATGAACGTTTACGGAACCCAAAAGTAGTTACCGTGGTTTCCCATTGGGTAATCTGACGGAACCGAAAAACGGTTACCGTGAATTTCCGAAATCCTCAGGCCTATGTCTTAGCTGCTACCGTATGCTTTAAGCTAACATACCTGGTATGTTTTAGCGTGCATGCATGCTACCGTATGCTTCAAGCTAACGTGTTTTTAGCATGCGTGCATGCATGCCGTATGTTTAAGCTGCATTTTCGCTTTTAAAATTTTCTTTTTAAATTTGATGTATACTTTTGAAAAATCCGCAATGCACTGAAACCGCTATAAGTGAACCGTGAAGTAGCGAGGGATTTGATGACTCGCATGTCCACAATTGACAATGGAGGAAGGATCCAGGGATATTTGCCCCGGAGCGGCGGGTTCAATGTCTTCTTGTTTTATGTTTTATGGTTATTTTGTTTAAATTTTTGATGGGGGGGGGGGGAGATTAAAAAAAACAAACTTTGTCCGACCTACCGACCCTATGCTGAAATTTCTTGTTACCGGAAACACACTATCTTTTTTGTTTGGCCTAATCAGAATTCTTGATTTTGAATATCAGTCAAAATAGAAAAATGGGTTCCCATGATGAACGTTTACGGAACCCAAAATTAGTTACCGTGGTTTCCCATCGGGTAATCCAACGGAAACGAAAAATGGTTGCCGTGAATTTCCGAAATCCTCAGGCCTGCTACTGAATTATTTAATTTTTTGCAGCATTTGTTTATAATTGTATGTATATGTTGTTGTTTGTGTTATTATCATATGCAATTGAAGAAGTAGGCCATTTCAGAATTCGAAATTTGGAACTCTCTAAATGCGTAACGGGACTCATACTTTTCTGATCAGCGAGTCCCTGGGACTCGCTGGCAGTAAACTGTAAAATTATCACTGCAGTCTGTGCTGTACACAAAGATTTTGTAACTTTAAAACGCTATAAAAAAAAACAAAAAACAAAACAATGGATTGCAGTCTGCCATGCCCAGTATGTTATCACGCTTGAATAGAAAGTCACACCAACTCGTGGGTGCAGGAGGCCCCCGAATTTGTGTTATATTTATAAACAACGTACATTATAAACGTGGAGTTTTGCCATTACAATATTAATAGCTAAATATGTGAAGATTTTATTAAAAATGTACTGATGTGAAGTGAGGTATAGAAAGCCTGTCATTTTTTTTAACAATTCTAAAATAAACCAATTATGTTAGGTGAAATCCAGAAAATAATCTTTTTTTTTTTTTTTGGAATAAAATAATTATGCTAAGTCGAAAAGGTTGTCTTTAATTTTATTTTTAATAAAAACACATATTTTAAATGTGACTGTTAAAAATGCACTTCCAATTAAGTGGCAAGGCCAGGTGTCATTTTTATGTTAAACAGCATTGTTGGTATCTGCTGAATGTAACCATTAAAGCATTTTGTAATCTAACTTAGTTGTTCTATCTAATAGTAAATAATAATCGAAATCTAACTTTTGAAATAAAGTAACTGGGTTCCCTTTTTAAGGCAACACTGGCAACGCTGGTTAACAAAGTTGCAAAGTTGGCAATGCCGAATCCCCTCTTCAAAGGAGCTATGCTAACAAAAGATAAAAACCTTGTGCTAAACACTGTAGTTATGGCAATTAATATTTAAAAACTATATCTATCTATCTAGCTAGCTATCTATATGTCAGTAAGTTCTATTATCCCAACCACAATATGCCACTGTGTTCTCCGTATGAGTTCTTCTGATTCTATATGTTGATTTTCAATTGCCAGTGGACTTCCTTTTGTGTTTGCCCAGCCTGCTGTGTTGTTTTTGGTGATTGCTGGATGTTTTGGTTTGCCTTTGGTTTGTTGGGATTGATTAGAGTAGGCAAATATGTTGTGCGCGTAACTGGAAGCCACAGTGGCCCCTGTTTGGTCATATCACAATCAAACACAACTGTATGGGCCAGGAAACAGTTGCTCGCAAATTGTCTTTTTTGATCTCTGCTAGTTGGCAACCTGCTGGGATTGACCCTGATGCCCACTATTTTCTTTGCTGGACCATTTCAAAGTATGTTAAAAGGTGTAATGTGCAAATCAGGGTTGGTGCTGGGTCGTGAAATCTTTTAGCCAATGTGGCTAAAAAGTATAAAAATTGTGTAGCCACATTCAAGCATAGTTACAACGTTGCATGTTATTTGGTGGTGATGCTGCCTGTTTTGCCGTTATCTTGCTATGTGCGCCGCTCATGCATGCACACAACAGAGACATTGTAGTCCAAATAAAGAAAACGTGTAACACTGTAGGGAAGATGTATTTTTTTCTGATTGTGGGCATAGTGTGATGGCTAACTGCATGTTGTAGTGGTAGAAATGTGCCAAGTTATTGCTAATTAGAAAGTGGCAAATGTGCTGAATCGCCAAAGATGAAATGAGGGCACTTGCAAAGCGGGGAGGGACTGCTCATGCAGTAGCACGGTTGCATCAGCTCGTCCCCGTTTAACGCTGCTCCCCAAAAAAAAATCACAACTGAGAGGGTGAAAAAGAGTTTTATGTTATATCTCACCAGTACGAAATTGATCTCGGTCTTTACCCCTGTTTTGAACTTATCTTCCAACATCCATCCATCCATTTTCCAATCCGCTTATCCTCATAAGGGTCGTGGGGCGTGCTGGAGTCTATCCCAGCTGTCTTCTTGCAGTTGGCGGGGGGCACCCTGAATCAGTTGCAAGCCAATCGCAGGGCGCACACAGACAAACAACCATCTGCGCTCACACTCACACTAAGGGGCAATTTAGAGTGTTCCATTAGCCTGCCACGCATGTTTTTGGAATGTGGGAGGAAACCAGAGTACCCATAGAAAACCCATGCAGGCACGGGGAGAACATGCAAACTCCACACATGAAGCTCGGAGCCGGAATCGAACCCTGCACCTGTGCGCTGTGAGGCCGGCGCGCTAACCAGTCGTCCACCACGCCGGCCAGAACAGGAACCATTGCATTAAAAAAATAGTCTTTGATGAAGACCATTTTTTTGACAGTCATTACTTCTGCACTCCAAATGACAAAGTAGCACCGTTCTCTGTGCAAAATGCCCATTTGCAATTGCACTCGGTAGTAGTATGTGTGTTTTGTGTCCAGTGTCACCTCATCCCCATATGACTTCAGACAGAAAGCTACCAGTTGTCTCTTACTCAGTGGTGTGGAGAAGTCTTTCGTGGGGGTTCCCCCCCTCAGTGATACATGGATATTTTATTCCTCACACACAAAAACTGTCAAGCCGACAGGTCCTTCTCAAAAGTGTTGCATTTTGTGATAAAGTTCACTGTTTTCTGTAATGTATTGATAAACATTAGACTTTCATATATTTTAGATTCATTACATACAGCTGAAGCAGTTCAAGCCTTTTATTGTTTTGATATTGATGATTTTGGCAAAAAAATAAAGGAAAAGCCAAAAATCCCTATGTCAAAAAATTTGCATATTTCACCCGACCAATTTTTTTTTTTAAAGTGTTTTTAAAACAATAAAATAAAGTTAACCGTCAAATAATTCTGCTTAGTTATGCACTTGGTCAGGAATCCTTTTGCAGAAATGACTGCTTCAATGCGGTGCGGTATGTCATACAGAAACACCATCTGGTGAGGCGACAAGGGAGGGATACTCAGAAGAAAAGAGCAGTCAAAATCAAAATGTGACTCTGCTATGTAGACTAAAATTGTGTTATCAATGCACAATGTACATTGCTGGTCTAAAAATAATAATTTAGTGCAGAACAGGCTATAAAAATCACCAGCCATATGGAACAGGTATTTGGTGTCCAAGTGCAGTGATGTGATATTTTGAACTTGAACTTGGATGTTTGATCCCAGATGTTTCTAATGTCCTTAAACCTTAATTTTGCAGGTATGACTACAGAGAGATGCTGTACAACTCCACTTTCTGTCTAGTTCCAAGAGGACGTCGGCTAGGTTCTTTTCGCTTCTTAGAGGCATTGCAGGTCAGTCACACATTCATACTTCATTATCCGTATTTTTCTTTTGGCATGGTTGTAACCCCTTCAATACATCCGCACTCCCCTGCAAAACATGTGTATCTGTGGTTGTTTTGACTGTTGACTGAAAATATTTGAGCTTGAAATCAAAACGATATGTATGAGAGGCCAACTTTTTTAGCTGAGCACAAGTATCGGAACCAGAATTTAAAAGAAGCCTTCATTAATTTTACAGGTGTGGCTTGATTAGTTTGGCTTGGAAAAACACAGAGCTGAAAAATACACCACACACATCTATATCGATATATTTCACTTTTATGGCAACATTATTAACACACTGGTAAAACGCTCATGTTGGGTCCCATGAGATGGAATAGCAAGGCAAGTTTATTTACGTATGTAGCACATAATCCATCCATTATCTGAGCCGCTAATCCTCACGAGAGTTGCAGGCGTGTTGGAGCCTATCCCAGTAGTCTTCGGGAGTAGGGGGAGTATACACTGAATTGGTTGCCAGCCAGTCACAAGGCAGACATAGACAAACAACCATTTGCGCTCATAATCACACCTAGGGACAGTATTAGAGCGGTCAGTCAACCTACCATGCAAATTTTTGGAATATCGGAGGAGACCGGAGGACCCGGAGAAAACCCACGCAGGCACGTGGAGAACATGCAAACTCCACACAGGAAGGCCAGGGCCTTAAATCAAACCCTGCACCTCTGAACTGTGAGGCGGAAGTGCTAACCAGTCGAACACCATGCAAAACAGCGCGCAGTGTTCTGATTTTTATGGTCAGAAGGTGTGTCTGGGCCGAAATTCACCGCAAGTTCTTCGCACTATCAAAAAGAAGTGTATACGAGTTGATTGAAAATTTCTAAAGTGGCCAGACAAGCGTGGACCATGGAGAAAGAGCAGGTCGTCCATTCACCTTGACTACGAACGAAAAAGATGAACAAGTTAACTTTTAAACTTTTCTAGTCACTTGTTTTGTTTTTTTAAACACCGACTTAAGGCTGTGTGTTAAACCATGATATGCAGGCCAGTTCTTGCTTTGTATATTGCTTGTGAAGTTCAAGAAATTGAACACTAAGAATGAAAGGCTTTCAGGATGACCATTTCATTGAACTTCACTATACAAATCAAAACAATCAAGTTTATTGTTAAAGTGCTGTGATATAAGGTTAGCAATGCATCTTACTTGTGTTCAACTAAAATCTGACATTTAATGAATTTGGGGTGGCTGTTTATTCAATCATCGCATACTTAATTTTATACTTCACTAAATCATCAGACATGCGTACAGGTTTAATCCAGCCCACGGACCGTGCATTTCACTCCACTGATTTAAACAATGATTAGGTCTCCATTATAAATAAAGAGAAACCTTTTTTTTTCTTTTTCATTTGGTCTTGTGTACTTCCATTACAGGCAGCCTGTGTCCCAGTGATTCTAAGTAATGGCTGGGAACTGCCTTTCTCTGAGATAATCGACTGGAACACTGCAGCTGTAATTGGTGATGAAAGGCTTCTTCTTCAGGTAAACATTTACATACCCATCTGAACATAGTCACTATGTTTTAAGCAGTGTTGAACTAATTACTGGTACAAATATTGAACTGAATTTTGTAGCTGACAGACAAGGCTGCACAATAATTTTTAAATACAGATTTGGGGGAAAATGCAGTGGAGCGAGCCCCACGCTCTATCAAAAAGGGTGTGGCGCTCAGCGTGCTGGTGTCACATGATAGGCGTGGCTGCAAACTAGTCTCTTGCGGACATTACTCCACGCAAAGAAACACTTAAGTGTTGCCTGGACTTATTTTGTGTACATGTCCAACAGGCAAGGTGCGCTGAACCGATATGTGGAGAAAATCTGTCTGCAAGTTGTGTTCTAAAGCTACATACTACGAGCTAAAGAGGTCACTGATGTCTGGACTGGGCATGCTGAATTCTCTCACGAATTCAAAGAGCTTAATTTGTGACACGTTTCAAACACTACCATTCATGTCAAAGGTGTGTGAATTATTTTACGATACGCGTTCTTCCTGATCTGTTGCATTCGATGAGGCACTATATTGTATTGTACTGAAGTAGTTGCATTGTGTGATACCAATTAAATAAAGACATATTTTTTTCTTTGGATCTGAACTAGGGTGCAAATAGTAATGATTGTTTTCTGTATTTGTTGAGGCAGCCAACCTGAGCAATCGCTCAACCCATTGGTGGAAACCAGTGGTGAAGTATGCCGTTAAACTGAAGGAGGACTCCTATTGGACCTTTCTGGCATGTGGGACAAAGCTGATTAAGTGCTGGCTGGTCTGGTTGTCGCTGAGGCAAAAGCCCATGCAAGGGAGGTGTTCAGTTAGGCCATTGAAAATAACTTTGGGATGGCGTTGAACAAATTCTGATCCACTCTCCGGCATTTGAGGAGAAAGAAGCAGTGCACCATTAACTGTGTTCAATGAGGATGAGGCGATGCTGACCTCGACTCGGCACATTGTGAATCAGTGCAAGAACGCTTTGAAGACCTCCTCAATTCCACCAATGTTACTAGGAGGAAGCAGATTTGGGGCTCTTCTATCTCTGTGGTTGATGTCATCGAGGTGGTTCAACATTTTCTCTGTAGGATCTATCCTGGTTGACATGCTTCTGCAACATGGTGTGGACATTGAGGTCTGTGCCTCTGGATTGGTGTGGTCTCCCTTTTTAATAAGGGGTACTGGAGGGTGTTTTTCCAACTGTTCACAGTCCGTTGCCAAGTCGAATCTCAGTTTCAGCAAATACGGTGTGGTTTTTGTTCTGGCAGTGGAGTCGTAGTAGACCAGCTCTACACCCTCACCAGGGTCTACAAGGTGGTATGGGAGTTCGCCAACCAGTCTTGATTTACTTTGTGGACTTGGAGAAGGGGTTCCGTGGTGTCCCCGAGGGCATCTTGTGGGGTACACTGCAGGAGTAAAGTGTATCGTAATCCCTGATAGTTCGTGTATGACCAGTGTCAAAATTAGGTCTGCTTTGCCAACATTAAGTCAGATTCGTTTCCAGTGAGAGGTGGCCTCCTCCAAGGGTGTGTTTTGTCACCAATTCTGTTCATATCTTTTATAGACAGAATTTCTAGGCGCAGCCAGGGTGTTGAGGAGTCTGGTTTGGGGACCTTAGTTTTATATTTCTTTTCCAGATAATGTACGACTGACATGAAAATAGGCACCTTCAAATGTGAGACCATGGTACTCAGTCGAAAAAGTATGAAGTGGCCTCTCCAGGTCAGGGATGAAATCCTGCCACAATTTGAGGAGTTCACGTATCAGGGGTAGTCATGAGTTCACGAGTCATGGACAAATCATCAGGCCGATCGGCACACCATTTGTAGTCATGGGGAGTCTATATCGGTCTGTTGTGGTGAAGAAAGCTCTTGATTTATCAGTTGATCAATGTCCCGAAGTTCATGTCACCTCGTCACGAGCTGTGGGTCGTGGCCGTGATCATGGATACAAATGACTGAAGTAAGTTTCTTCCGTGGGGTGCTCGGTCTCTCCTGTAGAGATGGGGTGAAAACATCAATCATCTGCAAAGAGCTTCTACGCATTGAGAAGAGCCAGATGAGGTGGCTCGGCCATCTATTTGGGATACCTCCCTTGGGAAGCGTTCAGGAAACCGAACACACCCCACTGTGGGGGAGACCCTGAGCACAACCAAAGACACACTGGAGCATCTTATGTCTCTCGGGTGGCCTGGGAACACCTTGAAATCCCCACAGGAGAGCTTGGTGGAGTGTTGGAGTGGCTGGGTTTAGGGAAGTCTGGGCTTCCCTACTTGAACTGCTGCCCTCGCAACCCACCCCGAATAAGAGAAGTTGATGGTTATACGGATATATGTAATACCATTCACCATGGGATCACTTGCACCGTCCACCGCCTAGAATCGTCTGTTCCCCATCCTTCAAGACATAGCCTGCTAGCTAATACATAGGTGGACAATCAAACCTAAATACAAAGCTTTTTCTGCTTTTTAAAAAAAATAGTTTAACCTTGGTTGAGGTCTATGATAAACGTCCTTTTAGTGATGCTGTATATGCTCGAGACATTATATTACATAGCTATCAAAACATACGTTTTGGTGGCCCAAAACGTAAGTACAGTACTGGATATATACAGTAGCTATATAAAATGTTCAGTCATTTTTACAAATGTTAAATGTTTAGTGTTCACTTGTTTGTGTTATTTTATCCAAAGTATTGTAATTAGTGTCCTTAAATAAGAAATAAAAAGACTTTTGGAGTTGAATAGCTGTCAGCTATTTATTCTTCTGTTTTACTTATTTTTAAGTTTGTGCCATAGTATAGCTTGTGTATGAGTACTGTATTGAGATTCGAAATGAAGGGATAGTTGACAATGTCAAAATTTTAGGATGGTGTCAACCATTTCAAGTGTTTTGTCATTTGCACTTTGGGAATTGGAATCCATGTTTACCAAATCTCCTTTGGGTTTTGTCACAGAAATATGATATTTGAGGGAAATAGCCAGAATGATGTTTCTCAGTGTTTTAGAGGTAATTGAGCCCATGTCTTGTTGCTTCTATCACAGGTTCCCTCAACAGTTCGCTCAATTCACCAGGATAAGATTCTCTCCCTAAGACAGCACACCCAATTCTTGTGGGAGGCCTACTTCAACTCTGTGGAGAAAATAGTTTTGACCACATTGGAGGTATAACACTCATTCACGTTAATGATTACGGGCAAATGAGGGCGCATCTATTCAAACTTGTGTATTCGAATAATTTAATGCAATCGGTTTTATTTCATGACAATTAAAATTAACAGTGTGGACATATGAGCCAAACATACTTTTACATTCATCTTTGCAGAGACCCACTATTTCATATGAAAGTCATACATGTTTTTCAATGTGTAATGACAAATCTTTATTCTTTGGTATACCGTATTTTCCGCACTAAAAGGCGCACTGGATTATGAGGCGCACCTTCAATGAATGGCTATTTCATACTTTTTTTTTCATACATTGGACGCATCGCATTCTAAGGTGCAATCTACAATGTCTCCACTAGATGGTGTTACACTCCTTCCATTCAACTCGAGAGGCGTCAGTTCAACTCGAGAGGCGTTCATGACCGCCTCTGAAAAATGTAAATTAACTATTACTGTATTTAAATGAAACGACGAAAATTGAAAATAATGCATCAAAACAGAAAATCAAGCGAGGAAATCACAAAATAAATTCTATATCCCCCCCTACAGAATTTATTTTGTGATTTCCTCGCTTGATTTTCTTCGTAGTTTCATTGAAGTAATTGTTAATTTACGTTTTTCGGAGGCGGTCATGAACGCCTCTCGAGTGGAACGGAAGAAGAGAACGCACGGAGACGGACAAAGACGTACAGTACCTGTATTTGTTGAGACTGTGAAAATCATTAATAAAGTCTGCGTTTAAAAAAAATAATAAAACCACAGCCCTCCTTTTTTCAACAAATACAGGTGCGACTTTGTCCGTCTCCGTCCCTTCTCTTCTTTCATTCAACTCGAGAGGCGTTCATGACCGCCTCCGAAAAACGCATTGGCATTTCCTTGATCATAGCTCCAACAGAACTATCAGGTGTAAATAGTAGTTATTTATTCCTTTGTTGTGTATTCACAAATGATGAAATCACAATATAAATTCTGTAGGGGGGGGGGGCTATAGAATTTATTTTGTGATATCCTCACTTGCTTTTCAGTTTTGATTTTTTTTATCAATTTTCGTAGTTTCATTGAAGTAATCGTTAGTTCACGTTTTTCGGAGGCGGTCTTGAACGCCTCTCGAGTTGAACTGAAGAAGAACAGGCACGGAGACAGACAAAGACGTACCTGCATTTGTTGAGTCTGTTTAAAAAAAAAAAAAAAAACACCACAGCTCTCCTTTTTTCGGAGCCGCAACAAAAACTTATTTAATAAAGCAGCGACACAGTTCACTGAACCAACAGCAAGTTATAACATTGTAAGCATGTCTCCAGCCAGGAGCCATCC